TGCCAGATACGTTAAACATTCATATGCCCCTTCATGCTTAGGCCACCATTCCAGAGGACATGCTTCCATGCTGATGACGCTCATTAAAAAAATAATTCATTAATTAAATTTATGACTGAACTCCTTGGAGGAGAATTGTATGTGTCCTGCTCTGTTTTACCCGCATACTGCCATATATTTCATGTTATAGCAGTCTCGGATGATGACCCAGCACATGTTGTTCATTTTAAGAACACTTTCACTGCAGCAAAGAAGATACCAATCTGTGATTTCTTAAGATAACTACGGCACTCGACCCAATGTTTAAGAATCTGAAGAGCTTTCCAAAATCCGGACGCATGCTTTCAGAAGTCTTAAAAAAGCAATACTCTGATGCGGAAACTACAGAATCCGAACAACTAAAAAAGAAAATTAACCTTCTGTGGGTGGCATCTGACTCAGATAATGAAAATGAACATGCGTCGGTCTGTACTACTTTGGATTGTTATCAGGCAGAACCCATCATCAGCATGGACGCATGTCCCCTTGAATGGTGGTTGACACATGAAGGGATATAAGAATTTTTAGCGCATCTGGCACGTAAATATCTTGCAACGCCGGCTACAACAGTACCATGAGAATGCCTGTTTTCACTTTCAGGTGACACTGTAAACAAGAAGCAGGCAGCATTATCTCCTGCAAATGTAAACAGATTTGTTTGTCTGAGTGATTGGCTGACGAAGAAATAGGACTGAGTGGACTTTCAGGCTCTAAAATTTTACATTTTTTTTAATGCAGTTTTTTTTTTTACATAATTCCACATTTGTAAGTTCAACTTTCAGTACTTGTATTAGGTGAATTGAAAAATACTATTTCTTTTGTTTTTTATAGTGCAAATACTTGTATTAAAAATAAATATAAAGTGAGCAGTGTACTGTTTGTACTCTGTGTTGTAATTGAAATCAATATATTTGAAAATGTAGAAAGCATCCAAAAATATTTAAATAAATGATATTTTGTTATTAACAGTGCGATTAATTGCGGTTAATTTTTTTAATCGCTTGACAGCCCTACTAATTTTTTTAAAATTAATCACGTTGTTAGAAACATAAATTTACATCTCTTCTATTGCATTCAAAATAAGGCTCACAGTGTGGGTGAGAAGTCTCTCCAATGTAGAGTCAGAGACTGTGTCTCCGGAAGAGTTTGCCGCAATTCACAGCTGGCCGCCTTCCACAAGCCTGATTTTCTCTATGAGTTACGGATGGCCTGTAACTAAGGCTGCGAGTTTGTCACTGATTCTGTGACTTCTGCAGCAGCCGGGGCGGCTGGCTCAGGGGCCACCTGAGCAGTTCTGGCAGCCCCTGGGCCAGCCGCACCGGCTGCTGCTGGGGCAGTCTCGGGCCACTGCTCCTCCCAGCAGCAGTGGGAGTTTGGGTGTGGGAGGGGACTCAGGGTTGGGACACAGGGCTGGTGCAAAGGTTGGACCCCTTTGCACCAGCGGGGATCTTGGGCTGCTCTCCCCAGAGCACCTGCGCCGCCCCTCCCCCCAGAACATCTGCAGTACCTCTGGGCCATCTCCCCCCACAAGGTTTAGTCAGGGGTATATAGTAAAGGAAAAATCGACAAGACCACACGTACAAATATCTTCAATTCAACAGTGCTGCCAGCCATGCTGTATGGCAGTGAAACGTGGGCACTGATGAAGAGAGAAGAACAGCGGCTGTCGGTAGCTGAAAGGGCAATGGAATGAGCTATGTTGGGAATTTCCCTTCTGGATCGTATCCCAAATGAAATAATTAGAGAACGCAGCAGTGTGAAAGATATTGTCATGGAAAGCAGATATAATAAGATACGATGGGCGGGCCAAATAGCATAGCTCACGGACAATAGGTGGACTGCAATCATTACTGACTGGTACCCGCGAGAACAGAAAAGACCACCTGGTTGGCCTCCAAGAAGATGGGAAGAAGACATTGTTAAACGTTTCGGATGAACGTGGAGAAGAAAGGCAAGAATGCGAGAAGAATGGTGGACGTGTTGTGATTGGCGCAGTCTTAACGACAGCTGAAGACCAATCGATCTGGGTGATCCAGGTGATATAGTACAAGTGATGGATAGGTCACGGGCCGTGGATTTTTGTTTACTGCCCGTGACCTGTCCATGACTTTTACTAAAAATACCCGTGACTAAAACGTAGCCTTACCTATAACTAAGGTTTTAGTCCTGCTGTCTCTAGAAAAGGGGCAGCCCTACAATTTGCTTATCTATATCTGTCACATTCACACTCACTCACCATGCATTGGTTCCCTCCCATATATGCTGTAGATATCCATTCTAAGTGGTTCATCTGTAGTATATTGAGATATTAAAGAGGAGCTGGTGCCTGTCTTTTTCTTTTTATTGGTAGTTGTAAAGCTATTTAAGCAGGCATTAAGCTGTACGCAGTTGGAGGACAAAGCTGAGGCATGCTTACAAATAAAATTATTGGGCCTTCTGCAAGAGAAATATGTCCTGACACCTTTAAAGGGGTTTCTTGTTTCTTTCCTCTCTCACATTGCTCACCAACATATTTTAAAATATGAACCTCAGCCACAAGTCAAACATACAACTTGGGTATAAAGGCAATGTGGTATGTTTGATGGTAAGCATTATCGAGGAACTAATAGTGGTTCCATGGTAAAGGTTGCAGTGGGATTTTGCCTTTGACAGCCCTTATTTCTTAAATTCTAATATGAAGCTGAAACACACTGACTTATTTTTTAAAAAGTGAAAAATGCAAAGCACTCTTTGAGAGGCCTATGAATTTTTAGTCATTGGCAATTGTTCCTGGAAAAAGAAATAAATAAAATAAAACACTTCACAGATTTTTTTTCATGTTTGCTCTCACTCACTAAATTTGTTCTCCATTTAACACACAAGTTACAACAGGCACCAAAGTTCCCCTTTAAATCCAGAAGACCATGAGTTCAAGTTTCACCTCTCCTATTGGTGGAGGTAATTCTGTGCACTTTACAATCCTTGCTATTGATCCAGGCTTCAGATATCACCCCCCTGTGTTACTGATGATGTAACTGAGTACTGTATCTGAAATGTCACAGAACACTTCTAGCAGAGCTGGGAATCAAAACTAGGACACTGTGGCCAAATCAAGTTCCATCCACACAGCCATACTGCCTCTCAGAAAGATTAGGCCAAATGTGCGTGGTTACATTCTCTGTTATTTGGGGCTACTCCTGCATATGCTGCTCGACAAATTACTCCTGGGGGGATTCTTTGACATTAATGTTCTGTGCAGAATTTTCCTTTTCCTGCAGAATTGGTGCTACAGAGCTGCTGGCTGCCACTAGAGGCTGCTGGACACAGCGGAGCCCAGCTCGCAAATACATGACACTGCCAAGAGGGAGTGGGGGGGAGCTGGAGGGTTCTGGGCAGCTGCACTTCCTGACACGCCCTGAAGGAAGGAGGTGGCATGCAGGAAACTCTGTACAAACCCAGGACCCACCATCAGGCTGTTTCTCCCTCTGGATCCCTGGACTCTGCGGGGGAGGGTATGCAAGTGTCTGGGCGTCGGGGGGGGGGGGGGGGGGGGGGACGCTCCATGGCTGGGCTCTGGAGGAGAGAGGGTGCAGGTGTCTATCATATGAGTGTTCCTTTGGTCTGCTTATATCATGTCAGTTTATTAATACATTTGTGGCGATCGGTGTACATGACAATATGATTAGCTCTAATAAGGAGGGCGACATTGGCACAGGGTTTGGTTATGATATTAACTATTGTTTAATGAGTGACAAATATGACTAGATGGCGCCTGATGCTGGTGGCATGTCATATTTAATTATAATTACTTTAAAAGAGCTGAATGGCTTGGAAGATAAAATATAGTACTGGACAAAATATCTAGGATCTTGGCTTGAATCCAAGATGATGTCCTAAATAAATGCATCACAAAACCACTACAGATCAACTCAGATTTATGTGAGTGACTTATAAGAACCCTAGAGCAAAGCCAACATTGTGATTAAATTAGCTCGTACATTTAGAAAGGATTCTCCCTTCAGGTCAGACTTCTAAGCATTGGTGGGCTCATAGAGAAGTTCACATTGTTGTGGATTGAAGTAAAACTTTGGTATCTAGAGTTTCATAACTTTTGATCTTTAACAAGCAAGACTAATTAAAACAAAGAAAAAATATGCAAACAAATGAAAAGCTAGAAGAATTTTCAGTAGTGCTACTGTAGTGAAGGATCTGCTAATCTTCTGAATATAGCCATTTGCAATTTGACGTATTTTATTGATGCAGGGTTGAAATTTAGCCTTCATGTTCTCAGACCTAATGTAATATCTGGTTTACTCTTAAAGGGTAATGAATAATGAGCTGTTCTATAACAACGTGAAGATTAGTTGTCAAAAAAGGAAAATTTAACAGGCATTTACTATATACTTACCCCACTGCAGTGTGCACAGATGTGGTATTCGTGTGTGCAAATATGTCCAATTATTATCCAGAGATATTAATGTGAAAATTTTGTCCTACCTGTCTTTTTAATAACAATTTTTAAATCAGATTTTAGAATAAGGGGTTAACTATCAGACTAAACAAATCTATATTTATAGGTATAGATAATAAAATACAATGTTAATTCTATTTTTTAACTGTTTTATGTGTATGTTTCATTAAATTTTGATTTTAAATAAGACAGGAAAACATTTATCCAGTGCAGTAAAAAAAATGGTCTAATTTGACAAGGAATAGAATATACAGCATATTCTAGGAATTTGACACACAACAGAGTTCTTGCAAAGAGATATTGAGGACCATTAAGAAAAAATCAATGGGCTAAGGTAACTCTACAATAGAAAAAGTGGTATTAAATTTGAGGTCCCTGTATTGTTGTTTCTTATGTTGACAATATACTAGCAAATGTTTTGTTAAATTGCCTTTGTCTGCAGTTCTCATTTATCTCATTTATGCATGTTCCAATATTTCAGTAACCCTATATCTGTATTTTTGTGTCTCAGCATGACGTTTCACAGACTTTGCTCAAAGCAACCCTGGACAGTGTGGTTGAGGAGTGTGTCAGCTTTGTAGGAGTAGATATTAACATCTGCTCAGAAATACTATTAAGGTGGGTTGAATACTTTCCTATTCCAGTAATTACATGGCTCTGGATCACAGAGTCTGTGTTTAGTCTGCCATCCGACTCAAATTCAGCTGGAGCAAATGGCTCTTGTGTTAAACTTCCAATTACATGAAAATGACATATTAAGACAGTATTTCACAGGAGTATTAAGGGTCAGCTTTTTGAAAGAGGGGATGTGGTTCTGCAAGGTAAAACCATTCTTCTGAGGGAGACAAATATTTTCAAAGTAATAACGCATAGCATAAAACAAACACAGCAATCAAAAATAACATGGCATAATAAATACGAATTAATATTGCAAAGGAAGGGATTTCCAAATGTTTGTTCTGTCTGTCAGAAGATGGCTTTACAGATTATAGCAAGTAAAGCTAGTTGAAAAACAGAGCGAAAATTCTGGAAAATTTTCATGAAAAATGCATCCCTTTTTCACTGTGTACATTTTTAAAAAAATTACTAGCTCTATAATGTACTGGAAAATGTTATGTTTTTTTGTGTAAAGTTTTTGTGAAAATGTATCTAATTGTCGGTTGAAAAATCAAAATTCAGAAAATTTCAACCATCTGGTCCAATGGACTGCTAAAAATAAACAGTGGGAGGAGGTCATGCCCATAATCATAGAAAAGTAGGACTGGAACAGGTCATCTAGTCCAGTCCCCTGCCCGGACAGATGTTTGTCTAACCTGTTCTTAAAAACCTGCAATGACAGACACTCCACAGCCTTTCTAGACAATTTATTCCAGTGCTTAACTACCCTTACAGTTAAGAAGCTTTTCCTAATGTCCAACCTAAATCTCCCTTGCTACAACTTAAGCCCATTACTTCTTGTCCTGTCCTCAGTGGTTAAGGAGAACAATTTATCACCCTCCTCTTTATAACAACCTTTTTTTTACTTGAAGATTGTCATCATGTCTACACACACACACACACACACACACACACACACACACACACACACACACACACACACTATGCTCTTCTGCTTCTGTGGGCTTGTGTACACAGCACCGCAGTGTGTTCTAAAGAGATGTGAGTTGTAGAGTGCGTTAGCATGTTGCACTCTAACTACCCCATCTAGACCCTGCTGGCATGAACTACAAGGTACTTATTTCATGTTGATGAAGTCCTGTTTGAAACAGGACTACATTAACATGCAGTAGGTACCTTGTAGTTCATGCCAGCAGGGTCTACATGGGGCAGTCAGAGCACAAATGCTCTGTAGTTCACACCCCTTATAGCGCACACTGCGGCACTGAGTCGAAAAGCAGTAAGTGTCCCTGAGACCTAAGTTGTAGAAAACAGTGCATCCCAGACAGGCTGATTACTAGTATTGCTTATTGCTCAGGTATGTGATATGTTAAATGTGTTCATCATCACCTGTTGCATTTACAAGGCATGTTACATCTCTTCAGGCATTAGAAGTTAGATATGTTCATTGAGGCAGACTAAAGATCAATGGAAATTTTGTGAGCTGTGTATTTGAGGTATATACCTTTGTCATCAAGAAGAGCTGTTTTGAGTTAGTGTGCAATAAGCATGTGCATTGGAGAGTCTAACACCCTGGCTTACCATGCACTATCCACTTCTTAACATTTCTAAGAATGACTTGCCAAAATTTCCATTCTTAATTAGTAGTATTTTTACTTTGTGGGTTGTTACGTTTCAAATTCTCCTTATAATTCTGATATTTCAGCAATGCTGAGTTTGTCACTCTGTTCCAACTTTTGTTGCATGAAGGATGAGACTGTTTTGGGGAAATTTTTCTTCTCTTTGCTATTTTGTGTCTTTTGCATCGATTGCAGGTGCTATTTCTTTTGGAACCTCTATCAGTGACACTCCATGAACAATTCTCTGCTTCCATTCACTTAGAACCTGAATGCAGATTTGGGTCTGATCCTGCAGAAATATCCTCCCACACGGAACCTTATACCCAGATAGTCCAGAGTCTTGTTGTGGATCCTTTTGCAGGATCATGTGAAGATGGATCCTTCAGCCTTTGGTCTTGCACTGCTTTTGCAAACTATTTAGTGTATTGATATTTGAGTTATCCGGCCCAGATTTCCTTGAGCAGTTTGTATCCTTGCTGTTAATTTGTATCTGCACTAGTCATTGTTTATTTGTAACTAATATATTTTGAAAACTTTGCTTCTCAGACATATTGCAGGACTGAATGCTAATAGGGCTAAAAATATCATTGAATGGCGAGAAAAGAATGGACCATTTATAAGTCGGGAACAGCTCAAGGAAGTTAAAGGACTAGGTCCAAAATCCTTTCAACAGTGCGCTGGCTTCATCAGGTTTAACCAAGAATATATAAGAACCTTTTGCAGGTAATTACTAAGGTGTGAATTAATCTCAGTAACAGCCATGCATTCACAAGCCCATTCCTTCTCAAAGCAGCAACCAACCAGAGCTGACCGGGTGTCTAATGGGTTTGTTGGCTATAGCTAAGGCTAAGATTTTGTCATGAATATTTTTAGTAAAAGTCACGGACAGGTCACAGGCAATAAAGAAAAATTCACAGAAGCCCGTGACCTGTCCCTGACTTTTACTAAAAATATCCATGATAAAATGGGATGTGGCTGGGCAGCTGCAGGGTGGCTGGGAGCTCTGGGGCTCCGACCACCCATGGGGACTCAGAGCTCCAGGGTTCCCCTGCTCCCCGCGGTGGCAGGGAGCTGCAAGGTCCCCCTGCCCCAGCAGCAGAGAGCTGCGGGAATCCCCCTGCTACCGCAGTGGGGAGCTGCCGGGGACCCCCCTGCCCTGCTCTGGAGGTGGGGAGCTGCGGGGATCCCCCTGCTTCTGCAGCAGTGGGGAGCTGCAGGGGTCAACCTGCCCGCCGGGAGCTTCTGGGGATCCCCCTGCCCCATCACAGCTGGCGGGGAGCTGCAGGGATTCCCCTGCCCCGCTGCGGCTGGCAGGGAGCTGTGAGGTACCTCCATTGTCCATGGCGGCTTGGGGGCCCGCTGCCTCAGGCGGTGGGCGACGTACCACACAGCTCCTTGCTGCTGTGGAGGCAGCAGGGCCCTGCAGCTCCCAGCCGCCGGGGCTGAAGTCACAGATTCCGTGACCTCCGTGACAAAATCATAGCCTTAGCTATAGCCCATTATTGTGAATTAGGGTTCCTGGGTTTTACTCCTGGTTCTGCCACTGACTCATTGGTGACCTTGGGCAAATCTCTTTAGTCTCTCTCTGTGACTCTGTTTCTCCATCTGTAAGATACTGATAACTCACAGGGGTGTTTTTAAGGCATAATTGTTTGTAAACTACATTAATATCCTTGGAAGGCAGGTGCTGTGGAAGTGTGATGGTGGGTGGTAGTCAGTGTGAGAATCCAGGATCTTCAGTCTCAGACATTTTTAATCTTATCATCTGGGCAGGGAAGATTGTTTAGAATGTCCATTCTTTGGGGCAAGTACTGTCATTTTTTAATACTGGCGTGCAGTACCTAGCATGCACGATGGGGCCCCAATCCCATTGGGGCCACTACTGCAGTACCAATTATTAATAATAAAAATGATAACAGAGAAGGTAGACATATGTCAATATTTTGTCAAACAGCACAGTAGTGGAGTGTTAAGAGCATTGTGCATTATATTTTCCTTCCGGAGGCCAGGAGCCTAATCCTGATACCAGATAAACAGATGCCTATCAATGCATATCTTACAAAATCAGGTGCTGCATTGAAAAACCCGAGTCAAAATTAGGCCCTGACTGCATTGCCTCTGCAACATTTCTGGTGGGCCCAACCAACAAAAGATATCCTGTAGCGGGCCAGAAGCCAGTACATTATTTTTGTTCTCTCTGCCACTGGGCCATTAGCATTAGAGCGTTATTTCTGCTAGTTCCCATGTTTTATATTTGGCAAGTTAACAAAAACATAGCAGTTCTCACCTAAAATATTGATCTGAAAAAAGTTTAACAGTCTAAACTTCTTTCTGGGCTTCAAGAGCTTGATTCACTCCACTGATGGAAACCAATGTGTGAGTGGTGGACACTGTGGTGAAAGGCCCAGAGCTGTCCCACACGGCCACAACAGTGGGCAGCGCTGCAGGTCATGGCCTGGGTACAAAGATATGAGATGAGCAATTTATATCCTAGGGAGACTTCACTCTGAGGACTCATTTGATGCCCTAACCATATTTTAAAGCTGCCCTCACTTGGTGGAATTGCCAGGGAAGGGTGGCAGTGACAAAAGCACAGCTCACATGAGGGCAAGTCTCTTTTCCTTTCTTCCTCTCAGCATAGGATGTAGCTGCACCACTCAGGCAGACGGTGTGTCCTGTTAGTTCTCCCTTTACCAGTAGGGGCAATCACACACTACAACTATTTGTGGCTTTGCAGCTTGTTCAATATCTGAATAGTTCTTAAAAATCTGTAGAAATAATTGATCTTACTTCGTTGAGAATGTAGGATATAACTAGTATATTTCATAAATGCATTATAAAATGCCTAGTGACTATTCTGAAGTGGTAATAATTTTAACCATAAGTTTTGTAGTGTTCCAAACATTTTCAAACTAATTTCTTTTGGTCTGGGGTTTCCCTGGTTTCGTCTTAGCTCTGGTTTGAGCAAAATCATTTCAGCTAGTTGAGTGAAAAAATATTTTTAACCATCTGATCTTGCTGCTCATAAATAAATATAAATAAATAAAATAAATTAATGGAGATATCCTATCTCCTAGAACTGGAAGGGACCTTGAAAGGTCATCAAGTCCAGCCCCCTGCCGTCACTAGCAGGACCAAGTACTGATTTTGCCCCAGATCCCTAAGTGGCCCCTTCAAGGATTGAATTCACAACCCTGGGTTTAGCAGGCCAATGCTCAAACCACTGAGCTATTCGCCCCCATAACTCATAATCATCTGACACCTAAACACTTCTGACTTGAATTGTTCTGTAGATTTCACTGAGACATAAAAATAAAGCTATAAAGGTATAAAGTTCAAAAATAGATAAATCTGCAAAACTTTTCAATTTCAGACATTTTCAGGCTCCATTAAAGATAGGTGTTAGGACACTCAAGTCCAGTCCATTTTCAAAGGTGGTAGAATTAGTAAAGCCTGCAAGCGGCACAGGAACTTAATAAGTATCAGGGGGTAGCCGGGTTAGTCTGTATCTACAAAAACAACAAGGAGTCTGGTAGCACCTTAAAGACTAACAGATTTATTTGGGCATAAGCTTTCGTGGGTAAAACCCTCACTTCTGCATCTGCAGAAGTGAGGTTTTTACCCACGAAAGCTTATGCCCAAATAAATCTGTTAGTCTTTAAGGTGCCACCAGACTCCTTGTTGTTTTTGTAGGAACTTAATAAGTTAGTCAAAAATGACTCTGTTAAGGACATCTCTGTTGTAGCTGTTGTGGGTAAAGGCCCTGTAGAGCTGATAAGCTCTGCATGGATGAGAGTTACAGGAATTTTTTAGCATAGGCCTAAGGTCAAGGAACTTACAAGTACTTACATAGTTCTGGATTATTTTCCCCTTTAAAAAAAAACAAAAAGTGGAAAATGAAATAGAAAAATCTCATACCAGTGCAACATTCAAGATTAAATATCAACTATTGAAAAGTCTGGAACAAAAAACAGAACAAAATAAGTTGTCACATAGCACTAACTTAGCCATATTGTATCTATCTAGTATTTTCTATTGCTGTTTTTCTTTTAGGAAGACATGAGCACTTTCACTGATCACATCACTAGCAGTGGTACATCATTAATACATTTCACTGTGAAACACCATAATTGATTAATGTGTTAACTAAATATCTGAAATCATCAGAGTATAGAAAAATTCATTTTTGTGTTTACTTGCACTTGTCTAGTTAGAAATGTATGAATAACATTATACTAGTAGCGTGTAAGTGCAAATTCTATATACGCATTCTCCCTTCTTTAAAAAAGGTTTAAGAAAGTTTATGCAATATTTGGAGAAGGTTATATTGACTTTATTAAGACAGTGTTAGAGTAGGTCACATGAAAACTACAATTAAGAGACATTGTGCTATAGTTAAACAAGAAATAATAAAATACACAATATGACTTTACGGGTGGGATCCTCATCCATGCTCCATCCTATTTACACCAGGTAATGGGGCCAGAGCAGCATAAAGGGTTTCTAGAAACCCAAGATCTGGCTGAGAAAGAATTTCCTTGCAGAGAAATTGAGACAGACAGCTCTATGCTGTCCTCCGAGGACCCCCTTACAAGCCATAGCATAGGGACCATGCCCGGGGGTGGGAGGATGGGTGATTGGCAGGACTACAGCATGTAGCTCTGCAGACATTCTGGGTAGCACGTCTCCCATATGGCTGTCTAAATTACACCAGGGGAGCTCTGACCCCTGGAGCAGCCTAGGATTGGGAGGGCACAAACATGGCTTAAGGCCACTGTAGGCTCCCCACCCCCATCCCCTGGGCTGCACCCCACGATATCACCCTAGGTGTATTTCTCTGGGAGATAGACTTCTAAACAGTAATATATTACCGTAGTATCTGGCTCTAAAGGATGACAAAAATATCCTGTTCAGTGTATAGTATATGGATGCTCTCACTTCTGCAGTGCGTTCCATCTGCAGATCTAAAAGTTTTACAAATATTAATGATGTAGTCTTCACAGCACCCTGTGAAGTAGGGAAATAGAAACTGTATGTCACATGACTTGTCCAAAGGTACATAGTCTGTGGCAAAGCTAGGGGTCAAGTGTCTTGCGCTTAGCCTCAAGACTTATTTCTAAGTCCTCTACTCTAATTTAACAGTGTGGTTTTGTTTGTTTCATTTGTTGCTGTTTTCTATTGCCTGTAACCATATAATCCCTGCATTGTTCAGCAGTTGGATGCAACAGAGACACTTCCCATAACTTTTTAAGTGGACTTGTGAATGTGCCACTGTGCCATTTTAATGCTTCTTAACAAAGGCTCCTATGTTCACGTTCTGAATAGTTTATATTGAGTATCATATTATGCTTTTACCCTCTCCTTCCCATGAGAAGGAGCCAGAACACAATCTTATTTTGTAATTTTAAAAAAAATGAGCGATTAAGGGCTGAGTCTTTATTGGAATGAACAAATTGCAAAAACTGATCACTGTCTCTGTGTGTGTGTGTGTGTGTGTGTGTGTGTGTGTTTGTGTGTTGGGGGGGGGCACTTGGAAGGGTGTTCATATACCAAGAACTATGTCTCTTTTTGAATTTTGACAGCAATCAGCAAACTAAGCTTGCAGCAGAAGGTCATGCACTTATGGCTAAAGCAGATGTTCAAGTCACAAGCAAAAAACAGGGCAAAAAGAAGAGCAAACCAGCAGCAAACGTTGCAGTACGGCCAAATCCTTTGGACCAAACTTGTATCCACCCAGAGTCATATGACATTGCAAAGAGGTAAGCAATGGCAGAGTTTCTGAGCAGTTTATGGAATTAGTCTTTTAAACAGTGAGCAGTGATTTTTCTTACATAATGGAGAAATTTGTTAAACTTTTGGGGACCCAGAATACATATGCGTTAACGTACGTGTGCACTAATCTCACCCTTCCCCAAAAGAGGGAAGTTCTCATGTGAATGAAGGACTGGAATCCATTTTGTTTGTCCTTTTATTTGTTTTCTCATTTTTCAAAAAAGGGCTATTTTCAGACCATTAAATATTGTGTGTTTTTGTAATTTTATTTCAGTGAGAAAAATGTGTTCCAAAGTTTATCTAGAATAACACAGACTGCACTAGTGAACTTAGGGTGCCCTTATACTGTATTTTTGGACATTCCAACTATTAAAATACAAGCGAATTTTCTTCCCACTAGCCCTCTCACTTTTTCTTCCAAGTGTGACTCTCATCACCTTGCCACCAATACTAAGCCCCTTTCCGTCCATTTGCCAGCTCCATTATGCCATACCCCATAACATTCAGGTTCTCTGCTTGATCAAGTGCGGAAGCAAACTTCTGATTGTTCTGTAAATCTGAAAAATTGTGGCTCTGTCCCAGTCCCATCTTGTATATTATGGGAATAAATAAAAAAGGCAGTGTTTGCATTTTCTGTAACCTAATGTTTTGTGCAGTATTATTTCCCTTCCGTTTTTCTCTATACATTTAAATTCTCCTACAATGCCACCAAGTGATGATAGTAGTAGGTGTAAAATTATTTTCAGCAAATCTGTGGGAGTTAAATTGGGTGTTACTGCAGCGGGATAGGATCACTTTATACCCAGCAAACACACTTCAGTGTCTCTGATTGTGCCCAGCCTTGCTTGGCAATCTGTTTATCTCAGAGGAACTTGCAGCACCTTACTAATCATGAGAGCAGAGAGGGGACATCAGCAAAGTGTTTCATGCATCTGTGATTTGTTAGTAATAAATCTGGTTTCAGAGACATTTACACTGTAATCCAGAAGCCCTCATTTCAGGTAAGTGTAACTTGAGTTTAGCAAAGTAAACAAACAGAAAAAGTTTCTAGTTAATACTGAATTTATTATCGATTCTGGTCTCCATACAGTCTTTGCCTGAAGGTAATTGAACCATGGTTTTCTTTATTCTTAAAAGTAATACCATTTAAATGCAGTTCAAATTATGCTAAGATACTAAAGAATCACCAATTGCAAATTAATACAGTGTGTTAATTTGTTGGGTAGTCTAAGCATAAGAGCGATTTCCTTCTAAATAAAAATAAAGATTGTCCATTAAAATAAATGTGTATATGTTTGTGTATGTGTATCCACACGTTTGTGAATGTGTCATTATCATTAGCCTTTAAAATTAAATTCTGATCTTACCAGGTGCTAAGATGTCATATTAAATTCCAGATACTTGGAAGTTTTAGCATGGGACCTTTTGCTGAGAGAGGAAAATGTTTTTTCTTGTAGGTTACAAAAAACAGTAATTCGGAGACTATGTGTGCCTCCCTTGTTAGGGGGCAAAGCAGCTGGTAAATGCTTACTTAAGATGTGATCTTCTCTATCATCACCCTATGGCTGAAATTAGACTCTTCTTTCCTCATGAGAAAACATTATCTCCTCCTATAAACTAAGTAGTGCCTATTTATTTTTGAAATTGAACAGGTACTTTTCGTAAACTATACTGGAATTAATTTAAGTGGCAGTTAGACGTTTTGGGGTTCTTGTGAACTCTTTGATATCACTGTGTCCAGAGGAACAACAAGTTCGTGTTTTCTGTGTTAAGTAGGATGGTTAAATTAAAAAAATAAAAACATTTAAAGTTAGATAATTTTAGACAGACTGTATAAGATCATATTCCATATTTAAAGTAATGTTGTAATACTCTAATAAGTACTTGGCACTTCTATAATATCTTACTAGAAGGTCGCAATCAACGCACACTTTGTTGCTTCCATAGTCCGAGTGCATTGCAGACACTAGGGGTTCCTTGGATTACTTCATTTCCCTCCTGTGCATGACCTTCCCATGCCATTCTATTTCAGGGACACCTTGCAACCCCCACCCCGTCCCCTCCCTCCTGCCATGGGCTCCGTCTATGTCCCCTTCCCCAGTACTAGGGTCCCCCATTCTCCCTCTATGCCAGGGACTCTTTGTGTCCCCCATTTCCCCTTGCCCCCCATACTGCAGTCCCCCATTCTCCCCTTCAGTTTTTCTGATTTTTCACCAAAATCAATAGGATTCTGGCCATTGATGCGTAGAACATTCCCTGAAATTTTGGATTTAATCAGCTGTAATGTCCAAAAGTTATCATGTTACAGAGAAACACTGAGAAATGTCCTTGAGTTGAGTGTTAGACCCCATTTCACTTGGCAAATCAGAACATCTCAAACCATTAAAGAGACATTGTTAGATTTAAACATAAGAATTGTTAAAAGTAATAGTGTACGTTTAAAACTGAAATAATTTTTAAACTCTAATTACCTGTCTGCATTCATGCTGTTTGTTTTGGTTTTATATTTCATTCAGCTTGAAAACTGAACAGAGACTACTTAGTTTCACTTTTTCCTATAGTCAATTTCACTTTCTGGTTCTCGTGTTAATGGTATAATTAAGACCACATCACCTGTTTAAATTTGAGAGGCATATAGAAGGAACACTTCAGGAAACAGAAATACAGCCATTTTTTGTGTGGAATACAACAGTTATATAATCGTATGCAGCACCACCATAGTCCAAAGAAAGATAGAAAATAAAGAATAGTAGATCTTTATTCTTATTTACATGAAGGCCCCTCTATACTATTCTTGCTGTGGAAGGTGGGGTGTAGGAATTTTAGTGTAAATAAGAATCTTAATCACCATATCCAGTTGAAATTCCAGAGGGATTACTTGATTTAGAATTTGGCCAAGGCCCCAGGGTTAGCACATCTTATAAAAAGTGGAGTCTTTAATTGACAGAAGTGGTAAGAACCTTAGTTTGATATCTGATCCATAGGCTAGTGCTTGCTAACATCATATGAGGGTACTGTCTTTGCAGTTATTCAGAGGAAAGACTGCCACCTACTGAATCACCAGCTCCACTTCATGCACCACCTAAAAGTTGCTTGGAGGTCTTTCATCTATGTACTGACCCTGTTTAGCTTTTTGAGTTCTGAAGTGACCACAGTAACGTGGTACGGCTGCCAGCCATGCTATGTTCATATAATTTAGTCTCTGTCTAATACAGTAATTAAAAGGCATTTTCTGGCTGGATAATTTTGCCCATTGAGCTTCTGACTGAGCGTTTTGGCTTCTCAACGTAAATATTTCTGCTGAAATATTTAGACCAATGTTAAAGTTGTAAATATTGTGCCATCTGGTATGCTTACACAGAAGCACACCACTTGATTCTGTTGCTTAGGTGTGGAGAAATGGAGAATCTAACTAAAGTGAGGAACAAGAAAGATAATGAATTAACCAAGTAGGTAACTTAAAGTAAGTGAACAATGAAACCATTCCTTGGATTACTTCCAGTCAGGGAAGGCATTGCATTAGTCTTGACTTTGCTGACTAGTGCATGGTTGTTACATTAGCCATTTATTTCATTTAGTTTCAGTCAATGATAGAAAAACTCCTGGGTAAACTAGATGTGAACAAGCACTCACCCATAACATGAAGGTAAAAATGCAATAATAACGATATCTGTAAATTGTTTGTAACCAGCTTTTAATACCAATTCCCCTTTATTTGAGTTTATCCTAAAGGTTGGCAGTGCCTTTTGCTAATGTGATGTAGCTGGATGCAATAGGCACTTCCTAAAGGTTTCATTCAGATGAACAATATTATTGACTGTAGATAGCTACACTTGAGAGAAAAGTTATAGTTCTGCAGAAAATTGACAAAGGAAATATAATATTAAAATTGACACTCATCATGACCTTAGGATAGAGTGTAAACTGAATTTCCTGCCTTCTGGCAATTTACGTCACAACTTTAATACAGTTTAAATATTATTGTTTATAATTTTTTTTCTTTATCTGTATTTTGAAAGATTATAAAGAGAACAGCACTTTAAAAATAGTTTATAACCTGTGTAATTAAGCAGAATTCATGAAACAGCTTTTCTAGACTCCTCCTGGTTTGTTGGGTAAATGTGGTTTAAGGATAAAATTCTACTAATACTTCAAACTTCAACATTGGTTAAGTATATGGGGCCTGATCCAATGCCCCTTGATGTCAATGGAAATAGTCTCACTGACTGAGTGAGCTCTGGATCACATAGAGGGCATAATTCTTCATTGCTGAATCTATGTTCATGAAAAAGCAACTGAAACATAATGGACTAAATTCTGCTTGTATTACTGATACGAGTAGCCCTGTTGAAGTCAATCAGAGTCATTGCCTGGAACCTAATTTTGTTTTTAAAGATGTTGATCGTTGCAAAAAACTTTGGAACTATAGATCAGAAACATTTTCATGGTTTATTTTTGTATGATAAATTCCTAATGTGCACTAGAGCCATTGAGAACATTGGATGAGGATTAAAATGAGTGGTTTAATTTGTCTATAAAACTGAAATTCATTTCACCGCAACTGTTTTTCCCCAGTAGAAGTGAGTAAGGTTTTTTTTCCCATATGCAGCTAGAGGTCAATCTTGTTGTTCTGTAGAACAACCTGCAAGAGTAACAGGGGTGCTTCTGGCAATTCTGCCATGAAGTAAACAAAACAGCAATGTCACAAGACTTCTCACACTCTGTAAGATAAACATACTTATTCTGAGTATTGCATTATAAAATGGAATCCAACAGTTCTTTTCACTGTACTGGCAAATGGTGGGACACTGTGCCAATTAACTGAATTTCTACCTCCTTCCTGTAGTCACCCTGTTTGGGAAAACGGGGTGTCGTCCCCCTAATGGAATCGGAACTATGCAAACCAGGGAGGAAATTGAAAGAGCACAGAAGCAAATGTTCACTGGTAGAAAGTAGAGATAGGGAAATCCACCTTTCTTCTGCTGCC